ACATCCACAGACATGCTGCTGTGGGCATGTAAAAAATACTGCTGCTGCACATATAACATATGAAATAGTGATGTTACGCCTGATACTGAGGCTTCGAAGCTTGTGTCGAAAATGTCAAGTACTTCCAGTGCTCTGTATCGAGGCTTATATCGTTTTACTGAAGTGACGTCACTGGTGAAGTTTGAAGCCTTGTTTGAGTGCAGATCTATCTATCTACTGTATCTGTCTGTCTGTCTATCTATCTATATCTATCTATCTATCGTGTGTTTACTATATGGCTGTATATGCTAATGTATCAAGCCCTTTTTAACCATGTAGCACACATTTTGGCGCTGTCACACTCCTGACCAGCAGGTGTCCCTAGCTTGCATTCAAAGCCTTGAGAAATGAACCACTTTTCAACACATCTGGCCGGAAGCTTCAAAGCTTCATCTTGCCACCACTAATATGAAATAATCCCCATGTATAACATACATGACATTACCCCATAGCAGATCTATACAGGTGGAGCTGGGGAAGGTGGAGGGTGTCTGAAGCGCGCTGTAACTGCTACAGTAAGCACTAGCCAAGTATCTGAATGTTGAGCAGCTCATTGGCTGCTGATGCAAAAAAAGAAACCAATCAGCTGCGCCATGTGAATAATGATGTCATTATGTCAGATTGAGTTAGAACCTATATTGGACTGCGCCATCTAGAGATTCATGACAGAACTTTGTGTTTATTTTCAAATAGTGAAATAAAAATAAAAAATTAGAATAAAACAGTTACAATAGTTTTTGCTATGGAACAGAAATTGGTACCAAGAATCTTGGAAATTTTACTGGTATTGGTACTGACTATTGATATTTTGGTACCGTGACAACACTACTAGACAGAGTGGAACATGGGTGGATATAAATAAAATGTGGATTATAAATGTGGTTTGTGTAATCAGATGACATAATGTAGACCTCGTTTACACCTATATGTAATGCTGACCACTTGTGATCACATCACCCCAAACAGATATTAATACTAGGTGCTTTATTGCACAATTATGTTTACAGTCTCAGCTGAACAAGACCAAAACTCAAAGAATAGAAGTGGAAGAGATGTAATTTATTGTCTGACATTTTATCATGTGACATAAAATGTTGAAAGCTGTTTATCTGCTCACCTTCTGTATATTCTTTAGTGCCATCAAGAGGGTCCACCCACACAACCAGCTGAGAAAGATGAAATATTACTTTTTATTTCAGAAATAGTATATTCTACATTTATAGCACAGTTGTAAGCATTATGCCCATATTCTGTTTCCTATTCCTCTTTACCTCTTCCTCCTTCAGGCTGGCATACTGATCCGGACAAGATTTTTGTAGAATTAGGCTGCTTTGTCCGTTCTCTATCAGGTCCTCTTCAACAGCCTCAGCTGGTAATTCCTGCACAAATAAATTACAATTCTCAATTAAAATATAATGTTCCACTGGTTGGAGCCAAAACAGACTTCATATTAGGAGACGTACGTACCTCCTCCCCGATGATAGTGACTTTAGGGAAGCTTTTCGACAGGGATGCACATATACTCTTCTGAACAAGCCTGTCAGCCAGTGTCTGTAGATCATTGGCTCCTGACTGTGCCAAAAGCACAGGTTACAAAAACATCATGTCAAAAGCATATGTAAAAACTATTTTACCACCTAAATTAATTACTACATTAACAGTAATGTTATCTTCTCATAAGCCAAAATCAGCCTTGATTTTACCAAGTAGGGCGTGTTAGTAATAGTGGATCAACATATTTGTTCAACCAATCAGATTTTAGGGTCTTATTGGAAGTTAAGAGCTTAGGACCTTTCAAGTGTGGTGAGATCATCTCAAGTGTTTTTTGGATCAACATCCTTGTTGGTAACATGCCTCTACTTGCCATACCTTTTCAACGATACCCAGCTCTCCACTTTGAAGCACTTTCTGGACAATAGTTCCAGCCTTTTCGGCCACGGCGTAGGCTGAAGCCACCAGCCGCATCAGCACTGCAGGTCTGTTCGCCATGACACCAGCTGAAACAGAAAGACACCTACTGCAAATAACCAGGGGAAAAGTCAAAAGACGACAAGTTGTGCAAGTCACTATTATATGAACATTACCAGGAATGAGATTCTAGCCAAAATAAAACTTAAAATATTGATTTACTACCGTTATGTATTTTTGGAAAAAATGTGATTCTTAAGATTTTTGACTTGATTTTCTGTTTATTTGATCAGCATTATGACATTTACGTTATCATGCATCCCTAAAACAATCTGTCCACATTGTGTAGATTTTGTATAGATTAATATATAATATTAATTAAGAAAAAGAAGAACATCATTACTACATCCTGACAATCATATACAAATATTCATCTTTTATAAAGTTTCACTGCTGCGTCCCTGTTTTGGTTACCACAAACAGATATTTATGAAATTTTATTTATATATATATATCCATTGTCAAATCATCCTGAATATCCTGCTGCCATATTTTATTTTATACCTGATTTGCACAAAATTCTTATGTTGTTATATCGGGGTTCTCATATTTTCTGTCTCAACCTATGATATATCAACTGTAAATAATTTGTTGGAGATTTAACAATTAAACAGATGCAGCTAATCTGACTCCATCCTCAGAGTCTCAGTTCATTTTTTTTTTAAATTAAAGTTCATGCTAGATTTATCATATATAATAATATTTGACACATTATCTTTGTATCTAACAGTGGTGACCCATATAGAGGGAAAGGCAAACAAAAACAAAAAAGTTTGAGATTAGATCTAAATGTAGGTGAATTTTTCTGAACATTTGAAAAGATTAATTCAACAGTCTTTAATAATTATCAATAACACAGTAGCAATATATATATATTTTTGTATTTACTTGATCACAGAACACAATGATAAAGCACATCAACTTTGACAATAGTCATGAACTGTATAGATGGTTAATGAGTAATTATGAAATGGACTCTGAACATTATTGTCTGAAGAACAATTGGCATGTAAGACGCGAAGACACTGTTTTCAAAATAATTTACCATTTGTCCCCAAAACTCTAATTTTTGTTATCACACTCACTTATATAAAACACATACGTCTTTACTCTTTAATCATGGTATACTCGTTCTTAGCGTTAATTCACTGTGCAGTCCTGGGCGATATGCTATTGGTGTGCAATGTCGCGGTGCAGACCTGTTTTTATACAGTCTATGATGCAGACGGATATTTCGCAGTAAGTGAGTGTTTCGGGGGTTTATATCTATAGCTCTGTGCTCTTACTTTAATCGCAGTCCGTGTCCAGCGGGGCTCCAGAGTTCAGCTGCACTGTGGGACAGGAAGACGTCGTACCGTCGTGTACACTGTGCTTGTCTTGTAGTTCTTGAAAGGAAGGGTCTTAGTGCCCGCTGTGTTGCTTTCTTTTTAAAGAAATAGTTCACCTAAAATTTTGTCATTATTCTTTAGATACCCATACGGATTTGAAATAACAGTGTAGTGTAGGCGATGTAAATGACAGAACTTTTCTTTTTTGAATAAACCATTTAATTCACACAAGTAAAAACCTTACTGAAATTAAAGGGTTAGTTCACCCCAAAATGAAAATTCTGTCATTAATTAGGCCTACTCGCCCTCATGTCGTTCCAAACCCGTAAGACCTTCGTTCATCTTTGGAAAACAAATTAATATATTTTTGATGGAATCTGAGAGCTGTCTGACCCTCCATAGACAGCAACGTAACTGAAATGTTCCCAGGTCCAGAAACGTAGTAAGGACAGAAACATCGGTAAACCAGTCCATGTGACAAAAGTGGCTCAACTTCAATTTTACAAAGCTATGAGAATACCTTTTGTGCGCAATGAAAACAATAATAACGACTTTATTAAACAATTCTTCTCCCCTGAGTTACTGTCTTCCGCCATTTTGGAGAGTATCACAACGCATACGCACGCTTTACCCTATAAACAACGTTATTTACAGCATAAACAACGCCGATTACGCTGATTACGTTCATGCACATGCTTTCCCCCTCGAACGTAAACAACGCTGATTACGTTCTTGGGTACTCTCCAAAATGGCGGAAGACGTAACTTGAGGGAGAAGAATTGTTAAATAAATTGTTATTTTTGTTTTCTTTGCTCTCAAAAAGTATTCTCGTAGCTTCGCAAAATTCACATGGACTGTTTTACCGATGTTCTTACTATGTTTCTGGACCTGGGAACACTTCAGTCGCGTTGCTGTCTATGGGAGGGTCAGAGAGCTCTCAGATTCCATCAAAAATATATTAATTTGTTCCACAGATGAACGAAGGTCTTATGGATTTGGAACGACATGAGGGTGAGTAATTAATGACAGAATTTTCATTTTGGGGTGAACTAACCCTTTAATCATTTGTGGAATGCATTATGATATTTGTGAAGAAGAAAACTGATAGTTTTCTATGGAAGCTTGTTTCCATCATGAGATTAAAAAAAACATACTTTATCTCACAATTCTGACTATTATTCTTCAAATTCTGAGGAAAAAAAGTCAGAATTGTGAGTTATAAACAGAATTGTGAGATATACAGTGGCTATAGAAAATAATCAATCACCCCCCCTCCCCCCTCCTCCCTTTAAAATAATCACATTTTGTTGCTTTGCAGCCTGAAATGAAGTGGCTTTTCTTGCAATTCTGAGTTTATATCTCACAATCCTGAGTTTTTTTGTTCTCAGAATTGCCAGAAGAAATGTTTGAATTGGGAGGTAAAAAGTTGCATTTATACATTCATTCATTCATTCCATGGCTCTACAAGCTCCCATAGTTTTCCTGTCAATTTCAACAAAAGTCATACTTTATATGTACTTTATTTGACCTCAGAGCTATTTCAGTAAAACCATTAGTGCTACCTAAAAATGAGAACGATTAAGTCTGCTTGGTATCAGTAGGTCTATTTGTGATTTCTGACAAATGACTAAACTGAATTAAATCAAAGAGCATAAAATACACCTGAAAACATGCAGTCACATGCAACTGTGAATCCTTTTGTAGAAATGAATTCAAATAAATGCAGTCTTGACAGAAAGAGGGATTCAAATGGGTTACAGCAGGCCTACTCATTTTATAGTCATCCTTGACGAAGCTGTGGCGTGATAGTAATCCAGCTAATATCAAATTGAGTCTCATTTCTGACCTTTTATTGAAAGTTTATCTTTTTGTAAGTGAATCCAAGAGGAAATCCTGTCTCTTAGTAATACATTTCAGCTGAATGAATTAGTTTGGATAAGAGAGCCTATAGCGGAGTGTTGACTAAAATTATGTGACTCATTCTAATTTGTTGGATGCATGATGGGAATAAACTGTAATTTATTTATCCACACTCCCCTCACAAGGAAGCATATATGTGTGTATATATATTAATCAAATAAAGCATTTTATTAATGTAAATACAAGTAAATCATTTAAGAAGATTCTAGGATACATTAATATAATGCAAACAAGTTTCCAAAGTGCACTTTACACATCCACATTTAGACTTTTACTTATTAAGCAAGGTTTGCTTCCTATCAAACACGTTCATCTATTGACCACTGGCCTGTATCCCATCTCCCCTTCCAGCTGTTCGGCTGTTAAAGTTCCCAGGATGGGTTGACAATCAGGGTTAAACACAGAATACGCGCTCATTTCTCCAGGTTGTCGGGCTCTTGGGCTTCGAAGGCCCTCATAGAGCCAGTAGAATAACGATATGAGAAAAAATGGCAGGCCAAACTCAAGTTCTGAAAAAAGCCCCAGCAGCACGAGCCACAGCAGCACTTTCAGCAGGCTCAGATGTGTAAGAGCCACACTCTGAAGCCATCGACCACATGTAGTATTCAGCAGATGATGATTGTGATCCTAAAATGACAGGAAAATATTAGATTGGGTTCATTAGACAAAACGACATGGGCAGTTTCCAGTGTGTTTCCAATTATGTATCTTTGTTGTTTTTTTTTTAAGTAGTAAGTGTGGTCATACCTCTGTGTGTGGACTCTGAAGGCAGGTGTTGGGCTTCTGTTCTGGTGTGTCAGTACACACTGCTGGAGAATCATTGCTCATTGCTTTCGTTTCAGTCTGGATCACACGATCAGCAGGTTCCTTAGCTTCAGTCTGGGCTTTCTTTCGGGCTCTGAACTCAGACAGCTTACGCTCCATATTTCATACCTGAAAAACTGTAATCAGAGGGAAAATGTACTAATTAATCAACGTTGAAATCGCTGCTGCGGTCACGTGTCAATATTTACCAGACTTCCTTATTAGTTTTGCGCTGGTCGGCTCTGCTTCTGTCTAATGTTTGTCACTCACTAAATGTTTTTTTTGTCCAGGGGGGGCGCTTGGTGGCTCAAAAAGCCAAATCCTTCATTCAGCTAAATTAAAATTTCGGGACTTTTTTTGTCTCAATATGGAAAAACATTGTCACTCACTAAATGTTTTTTTTTTTCTCCAGGGGGGGCGCTTGGTGGCTCAAAAAGCCAAATCCTTCATTCAGCTAAATTAAAATTTCGGGACTTTTTTTTGTCTCAATATGGAAAAACAAAAACACTATCACATAAAATAATTTTTAAGTTTATCAATTCCAGTGAATAATATGAGACATTAGTAACTGCGCATCTCTACAAAATCAATGATTCCTTGTAATCGCAGACCACTGTTATTGGCCCAGGCTGTCTAGCGCAGAGTAAAGTAACAGGTATCACGTGACAACCTCCATCTATTTCCGCAAAGGATGATAATGTACAACCTTCACGAGCAATTTAACTGAAAATACACAGTGAGGAGTTAAATAAGAGAAGTATTATTTATACCAGTCGCGGTCCACCAATTAAGAGAGTTCTGGTAGCAAAGCCTCGTCCATTTTATGACTTTATTGATAGTTTCATTGCCATTGCCATCTTCTATGGTTCATCAAACGAGTTGCAGTTGCACACGGACACTTTTATGGCTGTACCCACCGGAAGTGTGTGCGTCACAGGAGAGGCTGTGATTAAGTACTGGCATCATCGATGTAAGTACATGGAAATATTTCAGATATTAGGTATAAAATATTAATATATTTACATCTGAACCTCAGAAAGAATGGTTAATCAGTGGTTTTGCGGTAAGCGGAACTAACGATACACTGATAGATGACAGCTGAACCCAGCAGAGCTCTCATTCTTCATAATAACAACAACAACAACAGCACATAATATCAATATTACATGTCTAATAATCTATATAAGTTGAGGCTGCTTGCAAGCAATCTGTGCAGCTATTTATTCAGTATATTTAAGTATTATTTATTGGGTATTTCGTCTTTGCCCTATAATCATAATCAAGGGGTTGATGTGGTCGTTTTTTGTTTTTTTTTGGGCTTCATATACTGTTATTATAATTAATTTGATGTTTCCCTGTCAAACATTTTTGTTGGTTTTTAATACAGTTCACATTTTGATTTATTTAAAAAAGGTCAAAGAAATTCACACATTTATTTGCGACCACTTTAAATCGCAAATGTAATTCTATGTGAGCATATGATAAACAACTATTTAACAAATATATTTTTTAACATTATCTAATTGTATTTAATCTTTTCACATACTACTCAATATTATGTGACAACTTTTTAAATTTCAATGCAAATCTTATTTTACTGTTTGTGCTTTTGAAATGGATCTTTACTATCCCAAATTAGTCCAACTGCATTTAAGGCTACATTTGAATGCGTGTTTTCAGCAAATGCAGTTGTTGCATGTGTAATTATTTAGTTTTTTTTATACCTTCACCTACGTGGTATATTTAGGAAGTGTGTGTAGAAATTAAAACGATCCCGTGCCCTGTTCAGGCCCTGATATATAGTGCATTCAAATAGTAATGCATTACTTTAACATGCATAGTTAGTTTGTGACTACCTTGAAACCAGTAACCGTTTCTCTTTGTTGGTCAAGATTTTTTGCAGCACATTTGCGGGTTGCTTTGAACGTGCAGCAAAACAGCGACATTTCCGGGGACAGGAGACCAAAAACTGGGCCTGTCCCCAGAAAACAGGAACGTCTGGTCACCCTATCATTTACAGATAGACAACACAATACTAATCATTTTTAGTTTTCTTTTTCTTATGTTTATTTATGTATTTTTATAAATACAGTATGTATTGATACCCATAATGGTGGCACAAAGCAGCAGCCAGTGTCCCCGTGTTGATGTTGAAAGTGTGTTCTGTCAGGGAAAGAGGTATGCATAAATCATCACATGCTGCAGCAGTTTAATTCCTTAAAAATGCCTTTACTGATATCGGTAGTGAATCTCCCCTGTGGAGTGAGCCAGCATGGCCTCTGCCCCGGCACAGCAGCCCACGCTCACTGTAGAGCAGGCGAGAGGTGAGACGTCAGTCCTTAAATCATATGCTCAGGAGTCACGGCTTGACTTAAACTCAGCCAGACTGTTGTCCCGTCCATTGCAGTTGTTCTTAGTGAGGTGATCCAGGCTTTCTCTGTGCCTGAGAACGCAGCCCGCATGGAGGAAGCCAGAGAAAGCGCCTGCAACGACATGGGCAAGATGCTGCAGCTTGTGCTTCCTGTGGCCACTCAGATCCAACAGGAGGTCATCAAAGCATACGGCTTCAACAATGAAGGAGAAGGTGAGATTAAATGCGCAAGCATGCAAACCCAAATAAAATGCTGTCATTTCAACTGCTGCGTTTTGCCTTTCAGGTGTTCTCAAATTTGCCCGGCTGGTGAAGATGTATGAAACTCAGGACCCAGAGATCGCCGCCATGTCAGTGAAACTCAAGAGTCTCCTACTGCCGCCGCTCTCCACTCCTCCTATCGGCAGTGGCATCCCGAGCTCATAGAACAGCGCAAACTCCCAGTTCATCAAGTTCAAATCCGTTTCAACTCTAAAAAATGTCTAGAGTGTCTAAACGCATTCAGGTTTTCCCATTAGTGTAGTCAGTTTTAACACAAAAGTACAAATTGCTCAGAACACAGAAAAATATTTGAATCAAAAGTAAATTGGTGAACTTATACATTCCCATCTTCTTTCAGTGGAATTAGTATTCAAATCATTGTCTTTCTCACATATTTATTTTTTTGTATTCATGTTCATTTTGCCAATGTTGAATGTGCATATTAAGTGTAACACTAATTTGTTGATGCCATTTGAAGTTCTTGTTTGTTTTTAAAGCTTTTTATACAGTTCATATTGATTATTGTCTCATTTGCCCATATAAACATAAATGATAACCTGTGACAATGTTCTTGAGAGCATTACTGTTTGCAAAACTGATTTGTGTCACATAAACAGTGTTTATCCAATAAAGTCGTTTTTTTTACTTAATAGGAAGATGTTTCTTATCATGAAATGACTGTGTGCTTTTATGAATGTCTCTCTCAGTATTTTAGTTTTCATTGTCTTAGTCCACTAAAATGTACAAACAGCATGAATTAATTTACGGGATTACTGTAATGGAATTACAGTAATCACATCTGTCGTTGTCATGTCAAAAACGTGTCTTCAAAGGTAAATGGTAAATGATCAAATCACATTTGTAGTTTAAGTCTTCCCAGAATGCATTTCGGACAGCAGTGAAGCACTAGTCGCCTACTCACCTAACACCCCAGCTAAAATATATATATATATTCCAAGAATGTTTTGCCAGTGTTCCTATAGAATTATGAAAACATTATTTCTGAATGTTCTCGGAACATTCAAAGTGTCCATTATTTAGTTATTTTTTAAACCATAATATTCCATTTCATGTTACTTTTGAGTGTTCTCTGAACTTTCCACTTGTTCCAAACTTTCTTCTGTTGAACGCCATAGAAGATATTTTGAATAATGTTGATATCCAAACAGTTGACAGTAGCCATTGACTTGTGCAATCCTGGATCCACGGACACTTCCATACATATCCTTTTGAGTGGTTGTTAATCAAGTTATTAATCAGTATTTAACCTCTTAGATTTTAGTTCACTCAAAGTAGTTAGGCGTGTATTCTGTTACTAGAATGTGGTCTCTCCTTGTTTTCCAGAAGGTTCTCTCCATATGCTTAACATATATTTTGACAGCCTGTCACAAAGGTTATCAGGGCCCCTCAGCTACGTGACCAACTCCTAGTTAACACATTTACTTTGTTTTCCATCCCTTGATATTAAAGAATAAAGTTGAGTATTGTCTGAACTTCTCTCTCTCTCTCTGAGAAACTGCTCGCACTATCTGTATGTTTTGGGAAAGTACCTGATAAGAGTACGAGTCTGAGCCGCTCGATTTTGCAGAAGTTGCGTATTCTCTCTCTCTATGTGTGTAATAACTAGTCCCAGGATGAAATGGACATCTTCAGACAACCTGATGCTAGAAGTGCTGATATGTCTTTGGTGGGCCACTTTGCGCCTAAAACTGGATATCGGTTGTCACAATCATTTACGTACATGTGTGGAGATTTTCTAAGTGTATCGGTTTCAACCAACCAGAATCATTTTACCTAAAGCAATGACGTACAGTAGTTAGTGACCTTTTTTAGAGTATAATTACTGCTTTATTGAGCGGCCTACAAACTCCTCACAAGTGTTTAAGCTGACTTCTGCTGATGAAACTGCAAACTACTTTCTTCTGTAATTTTTCTTTAGTTGACTACATCTATGACTCCTGGTTTTTATTCATCATATCTGGTCCTTGGGTCTTAACTGTAAATTCCTCTACAACTTCCATAGTATTTTTGTTCATACTATGAAAATCACTGGCTACCGTAAACTGTTTGGTTACATAAGAGTAAGGGTGAGTAAATGATGGCAATTTTCATTTTTGTGTAAACTATCCCTTTAAACAAGTAGTAACATTTAACAAATGTTAGATGAGTGTTCCAACTAAAACATTTCAGAAAAAAAGTTTAATCGATGTAAAATAACAGTTTTGTGTTAACATTTTGAGAACATATTAAATACCTGATAATTATGAATGAATGTTCTATTAAAGTTTTTCTCAATCGATTTGACACTTTTCTCCAAAGTAATGTAATTGCTCTCAAAACAAATAACACAGACATGCCTATCTTAACCAAACAGTTCAATTTTACTGCGAAATGAAGCACATCAATAGATGTGTTTTCTATTGACTATAGAACATATTTAGCTGTAGATGCAAAAATACAGTTTATTGCAAAGTTCTTCAACAGGGAGTATTGTGTATATATATATTTATATTACACGGCTCTGTGGGATACTTGAATCTGATTGGTCAATCGCGCCATCCAGCGGTATGTTATTCCCAGATAACAACCGCCAAATTGAATAACACACCGCTCATCCGGGTACTACGAGTTATCTTGACCGGTACTACTTATATGCTTATCGAGTCACTCCGCTATCGTTGACTGTCTGGCGCCATCTTGTGACTGAAACACTTAACCACCGCGTGTTACAATGGAAGACTTCAGCATTAATTTCAACATATGGTAAAAACAAATCTTTTTAGCCGTGTAATAAGCGGGATAATCGCTTCGCGTCGGGGTCCTGATCATCCTGTCGGGGTTTATTCTGAGATAACAACCGGCTGGATGTACATTATCCCTTATATATATATATATATTGTGTACAAATGAAATAAAAAGTGCTGTATTATCCAACACCTATCACCCATGTGAAAAAAACTAATTGCCCCTTAAAATTAAATCTGGTTGTGCCACCTTTAGCAGCAAGAACTGCAAACAAACACTTCTAACTAGAGATCAGTCTTTTACAGCGCTGTGGTGGATATACACACACACACACATGGCTGTGTGCTCGTGCGTGTGTGTTTGCTGTTGTACATAAATTATGCTGAATTATTGATCTTGCCTTTCATTTACATCTAGAAGAGAATTTCATCTGCACTGTATTATCTACACTACATTCTTGCTGTGCTTGCATCATTGGGGGAAAAAATTGTGAAAGGGTTGAATCGATGCTTGACAAGCTCCTGTCTCAACATCTCCACAAGCCTCTTCCTTTGTGGCTGGTATGTTGTTCTGGTACACCATGTCAACAATGCTCTTGTTCCATTCAAAATAAACTTGTTTCAAACTTCCATTCTGAAAAATGTTTGGACATTTACATGTAAAGAACAGAAGTTGTCCCAGGAGAACTACAAATCTGCACGATCAACCAGGGGCGTAGCCATCATTTCAGAAGTGAGGGGGACAGAA